GGAAGACTGACACGATTCATCCTGCAGACGGGCGGCACTGGCCCAAAACAAACTGCCGGGAGAATCGGTTGGCCGCTGTTGAAATTGGGGGGCGTTTGAGGCAGCACAATTATGGTTACTCGTGAAGCTTACTTTGCCCCAAAAAGCGCTAGGCTTGGCCAAGGGTCCGGATCCTTCGCGCCCAAAAGCAACCCATCTTTGGCGCCGATCTCATCCCGCGGAGCTCGTCCATTGGACCACGAGGTCACTTCAGCGGCTGAGTCTCTTCCAGCGCCCCCCATAAAGCAATCAAACTTGCCAAGTTCAATTAATCAATCAATCAATTTTAAAGCCATCGCTAGTCAATTAAGTTAATTATAACCCTCAAACTTGATTGATTACCTTAACTCTTTTGATAGGGATTATGATATAGATTAAATAAATATTCTACTACTGAATATCTCTGCCCTTCCCTGCCCTTCCTTATCTACCCTCTACTTCTGATAGGACCCCCCTTAGTAGGGTATAAATTACCCCCTTTTGCCTATCTAGCTTCTTCTTTTTTTCCCTTAATCTAATAATTATTTGTAATTTTCTCTAAGCTTAGTAGTAATAGCTAAACTCCTTAAGGAATCTAAAGGCTAGCTTTTAAGATCTCCTAGAGATTTATATTAAAATTATTATTTTACTATTATTATCCTCTATCTCTATTACCTATTAGCGTCTTTTAAATATAAAGGTATTACTAAGTCTACTTTATCTTCTTTTTTGCTCACTTTATACTAGATATTTACTATACTAGTAGTCCTCTATTTAACTCCTACCCCTCCTCTAAATACCTTTAGTTAACTCTTAAAGTATAGATCTATTATATTATAGCTTAAGTAAAACTAAAACTACCTCTTACTTAACTATTTTTCGTTTAAAGACCTCTTTAAGGTTATAATAAATAATAAAGTATATATATAAGAGTTAGATCTTTAGAGAAAAGGTATAAGAGAGAGAATAAGCTAGATAAGAAGCTATAGATAGTATTTTGTTTTCTACTAGCTAGATAGCTAACTAGGGGTAAATTATTAAGCTTACTATTATTATAATCTTAAGGGTAAGTATATTATGTTTAATATTAAAGCTATTTCTTCTATTTCTAAGTATCTTAAGAAGAATTATCCTAGAGAGATATAAATAGGATATATTAACTTAGAAGGTTCTAACCAACCTAAAGATATTTTATATAAGAGATGCTATCTTAATTTACTAGTTGAATGAAGAGCTATATAAAGAGTATCTAGAAAGCTACTATATACTTAATTATTAATATTAACCTTCCCTTTATTATCTATAAAAGCCTTGCTTTTTAGTATATAATCTCTAGGGCTAGTATTAAGCTATAAGTATTACTATGGTTTACTGCTTTAATAGTTACTGCTTTTAAAAGTATATAGAAGTAATAAAAGATAGTTATCTAGTAATAACTTCTATGTACTAACTTTGAGATATATTTAGGCTTTAATTTATAGACTTCTCTAGGTTACTAAGCTATTATAAGTGTTACTATATATTTTATTATTAAGCGCAAAGACCCGTAAGTACGTCTAATTACGATAAGGAAGTAAATTAATACTTATAATAGTATTAACCTTATAAGTACTCTTAAGGAGATTATTAGAGACTAAGGTATTATAAAGAAAGTAAAGACTTTAATTTTTAATAATATAAGCTTAAATAATATTTATGTAACAAATTTGATCTCTTAACTTAACCTTTCTATTAAAAAGAAGTAACATATTTAGGCTAAAAGGATTTATTACTTTAGATATATCTTTAACCTTATATTAAAGGCTTTTTTATTTAGTAAGGACTCTAAGAGCTTCAAGAGATAGTTAGATATATATCTTCTTCTATAGTAAAATCAGGCTAACCTTAAGTATTAGTATAAAGCTAGCCTTATTAGTAAGCTTTATAATATTATGAAGTTTATTAAAGTTTTACCATAATGTATATAGAGGTTTAAGATTCTATCTTATAAGATATTAGAAACTTCTAATTAATTTAATAGCTTTCTTCTCTCTTAGTAGATATTTAAAGAAGTTAAATTAATCTAAGATAATATTATAAAGTAGAGCTCTATATACTTTATAAATAAGTATACTATTTAGCTTAAAGATAAAGTAAAAGGCTTTTATTCTTCTTAGAATACTAAAGATTTTATACTAGCTTAAGATATCTTAATTTCTAATAACTAGCTATAGGTAATAGAGATTATAATAATCTTAAAACCTATCCAGAAGATAATATTTTAAATATAAGGCTTTAGAGAAGATAGCTCTTATAGTAGACTTTAGGAGGTAATTATTATAATAGAGTATCTTCTAAGTTATTTTAAGGTGTAGAAAACCTTCTATAATAGTATTAATAGTAGGGATACTTAAGATCTTAAACTAAATAAATTCTAAGCCTTCTTATAAGAAGTATCTTAGAGATCTAGTTACTTAGTAAACTAATAAGTTCTATTATATATCTAAATATTATAAATATCTTAGAGATAGTTTAATAAGAGCTCTTTACCTGCTTATATTTATTAAAAGTATGTTAATAGCATCTTAAACTTAGAAGAGATAGATAGTAGTAGCTAATAATACTTAAGGACTTTAATTAATAATAGATAGAAGAAGCTAAATAAGTACTATATATTAATAGAGGAGTTACCTCTATACATTACTATATTACTCCTCTACTTTAGTTTTAACTTAAAGTACTTAGAAAGAAACTAGCGATCCCCTCGCTAGTAGGAATAAATATTAAGTATTAAGCTAGCTCTAAAGAGATATTTTAACTAATAATATCCTCTTAAAGAAAGGGAAGGTATAAGAGATATAAATTATCGCTTAGAACCTATTAACCTAGACAACTTTAAGTAATAGGCTTAAGCTAAAGATATAATACTTAACAAAAAAGAGGATAATAAGGAAATAGATGAATTAGAGAGATATTTTGCCCTTATAAGGTAGGCTAACTATAATCTTATTAATTAGTGGTTTACCTATAAAGAGGAATATCCTTAGCTAAGTAGGCTAGTATTAGGGATCTTTGTAATACCTTTATAATTATCTAACTATAAGAGGGTATTTAGTGCTATATCTCTTACCTAAACCTTATAAAGGCTAACGATAAAAGTAGAAACGTTAGAAATGCTTTAATATATGAAGTAATAGTATAAGAGGGGTGTAATTTCACTACTAGGGGGTTCTAAATAGCTTCACTTAGTAATTACTTGCAATTAATTGCAAGCAATTAAGTATAGTATCGCGATATAGCAATCAAGTTAAGTTTGACCCTCATAATTAACTTGATTGCTTTACGGGGAGCGCTGGTCTCTTCCAGGGGCAGTGCCTTGCTTTGCCCTCATTGCTTGCCTTCTCTCCGAATATTGCACTTTCTGCTGCCAGCACCCGATGCTATTCCAAGATGTTATCGTTATTACGTCGTGAGACTAAGTAGGTCCCGGCCAGCCTTCCACCTCTTTGCCGCCAGCCCTACCGGCCCAGACGGTGGATAGAACGGGCTGGCGTCCAGATTGTGTCTTAGACTTGTGTAGCTTAGCTAGCACATCTACTGCTTACAGCCCTCTCGCGACCCCCTGATCCGCGCGATGGCACGTCTTGTCAATCCTTCAAGTCACTTTCTCCTGCTCTCCCGCCGTCTCTTCTGTCCTTTCTCTTTGTCAATCCCTCTCCGGTCTACAAGCACCTCAAACATTTCTGCCTGCTCTTCCTTGTCACTGTCAACCCGCCCCGGAGTACCCGGGTAAATCACCCTTCAATTTAAGCATCTCCCTTCCCACCTCCGAATCTCAGACGGCCGCCCTTCTCTTGTGTTTGAGATGGCATCTCTGCATCCGCACGACCACTTTTACTCAGGCAGAACAAGCGGTTACAGCAGCCACTCCGTGTCGCCCGAAGCCGAGAAGATGCTCAAGAACCCGAAAGGCTCCCCGGGCCCCGAGTCCGGTGCCATTCCCGACGGACTGGAAGTGAATCAAGGCATGGATTTCAATAATGCGCCCCAGCCGTATTATCCCCAGTCGCAGCACCAGCCCGCGCCGTACTATGACCACCATGCGACGTCGCCCCAGACACAGTACACGCAAACAACCTCTACGAATAATCACACTCCCGTCGGCGTGCCACCTGCAGGGGAGAAGGGCGACCCGCGTGATGGGAGGATATGCGGCCTACGCAAACCTACCTTCTTCTTGATGCTTGTGTCCGTCTTCCTCCTCTGCGCCCTGATCGCGGTCGCCGGTGCGCTTGGAGCTGTGGTAGCACAGAAGAATTCAGAGCTGGCAAAGTACGTCTCGTCGGCTTTCCTCCATTTATTACAAGACCTAACGTTGTCGCAGAGCCACGGCATCTGCAGCCGCCGGATCATCCAGCACATCGACACCCTCCGGAACAGCCAACGCCGTCCTCGACCTCAGTAAACCCGCACCAACAGACACAGCTGTTAGGAAGGGAGAATGCGGTACTAGCTCAAGCAAGCCGACATGGGAAGTCCCAGGAACGAACCTCACCTTCGAAAAGGATTGCGGCAGCGACTACATCTACAACGACATTGGCAAGGTGCCGACCTCAAACATCGAGGAATGCATCCGACTCTGTGCTGTCTTCAATGTTAACAAGCAAACTGAGCTCGGTCGCTGCGCCGGTATTGTTTATCTCTACAAGGATGACCAGGGCAACGACGACCCGTATTGCTGGTTGAAGTACACCAAGAACACCAACCAGATCTTGTCAAAGGACTACACGGAGTCGGCATGGATTGTATAGCGCAGACGCTTGCTCATGAGATGATGACGATGTTTCTAGACTGTATTATACCCTTTTGCATCAGCGAACGAATAATTGAAGATGATCTGAATGCCCCGCCTCGTTCATTCACGATGCGATCGCCAGCACTTGACCTCCGGCTTTTCCCACGGCTCGTCTAGACCAGGTGAACCACGACAATGTTTGCGCACCTCAATTCGACCCTCCCCCGAGGAAGAAGACGCGCTTGAATGCAAACATGTTTTCAAATGTGCAAAATTCCAGCGCACCCAAGTCAAAATTCTGGGGCATCTCCTCAAAATGGCTGTGTAGGAGAGCCTCGAGCTCTCGATTCTGCTCATTTGTCAGATGTCGGAGCAGATATGCAACGCTGAGGTGAAAGCCGTATTCATCGTGTATCGGGTGTCGGATGTTCAGCTTGTCTGCAAGTTTGTGCCGTAAGGACCTTAGCCGCACCGTCTCGGCCGGCGTGCGCCCGTCAAGCTGGATACCGATGCCGATTTCGTGTGGGTCGAACCCCCTCACCGTCATCTTGTACGGGGGCATATGCTCATCCCCGAGATCAAATGCACCCAGAGCTTGCTCAAACTTGGAGTTGCACTCCTCAAGAGGGGCTTCTAGGGGTAGATCAGATGGCCAGTATCCAGGTTTCCGAACTTGATCACACACCCCTTCGAAGACTGTCATGTGGAAGCTCGTCGCTGGTAGGAGAGTGATCAAAGAGGCGAATTTGCTGGCTGCGAGCTTGTCGCTGAGCTCCTGCATTGAGACGTAGAGAGGATCGGATGGAGAGAGATGACAGATGATCGTGTTTCCCGGGAAGGCCTGGACCGCCCCGTCGGGAGCGAACTTGCTGGGCACCCCGGCTGGGTACTGGGGACGTTCGACGTGGGGTTGCAGGTAAGCCATGATGTATCTGCAGTTTTTGTATGTTTTGTTCGCAACAATATGGTGCTCTGATGTTGCAAGGTTGAGAGAATTGCCCAGCTAAGAAAATGGGGGAGGCAAAAACTGAGCTGCGCTTGTTGTTACATCCTCCGATTGATGGGCAGCTACCCACGTGGGCAAATCATACGCGCATCACACGCTGTGGCTGCTGCATGTGGCTGGAACAGTACAACGGAAGCTTGTGTGGCATCGCATGAGTCTTACTGACACCGCCGTGTCTCGGGGTCCAGCTGTCAAGATCCCTCCGGGCCCCGATGGGAGGCCGGCGCCGATTGAAGGGAACGATGACGGATGATTCCTAATTAACTTAGGAATTTTGCGGACCATAAGGTGCTATTCTACACAGGGGCTGATAAGCAACGTTGCGTGCTGACTACCTTATCGCCTACAGCGGAACTTTTGTATGAAGAGTCATTTGATGACACATATTAAACCACAAGAAACCCTCCGTCGAATGACTGTTCACTCGCGTTCTTCAACAGAATAGGTCAACCAACTTCATTGACATTGTGCAAAGAAAGCTTCTTTTGGGCTTACGACGACTCACCTCAGGGCGAAGATTTCGGTCACGTCGACTTGGCATGCAACATGGCGTCCCCATCTGATCTGCCCACGCCCATTCTCACCCTCTCAAAAAGCATCCTCCGACCGTATCACCCTTCAGATGCACCGTCCGTGGCCAAAGCAGCAAACTCCAAGGCCGTCGTCGTTCATCTCCGCAACCATTTTCCGCACCCATACACCCTCGCCGACGCCGAGAGTTGGATCTCAATGAACCAGACACCTCCGTACCGCAGCTGGGTCATCATCTGCCCCACATCGGGTCGAGGCATGGGTAGCATCGGTATCATTCCCGGTAAAGACGTGTATCTGCGGGGTTATGAGTTGGGATACTGGCTGGGCGAGGAATTTTGGGGGAAAAGAATCATGAGCGAGTTGGTTCCTGCGTTCGTCAAGTGGATGTTCGAAGGAATGGGCGAGGAGAAGGCCGAGGTTGAGAGGCTATGGGCTGGTGTGTTTTCTGAGAACAAGGCGAGCCAGGCCTTGCTGCAGAAGAGCGGGTTTCAGCTTGAGGGCAGGCTTAGGAAGGCGGTGTTCAAAAACGGTGTCTTGATGGACGAGATGGTGTATGCCGTAGTCAGGGATGACTTGACCGCCTGTGGCTCAACATGAAATAAAGAGACATCGCCTTATCATGATTCGGCAGCATCGAACATGTTTATGTATGATTTACGGTCTTTTATTGATACGTCTTCATGCTCGTAAGAATGTTGATAGAGAGTGATTTGTAAAGTAATGACGCGAATTCAATAGGTCTGTTATCGCTTCATATGGCGCTCCTACAGGCTTGGGCTTTCTGAGCTTTCGCCTAGGTAGAAAACCGGCCAGTGACCGCTTTAGCGGTTGGCTTCTTCTCGAACGCGCTCCAGTCGTACCACTTCAGCGACTCCTCGACACTCAGAAGTTCCTTCTTGTCCTCGTCAGTCAAGAGATCCATGCCTTCCACGGTCGTAATTCCTTCCCACTTTGAGGGATAATGATCGTGGAGCCATTGGAAGAACTTCCATTGAGATAGCTGCTCTTGCCCCATGGAACCCCAAAGCTCAACGTAGCTTTCGGGAGAAATCTGCACTGCGGCAGTCGCTCCCTCCTCCGGGGCGAGGCCGGTAGCTCGCCCCCAGGCGGCGAGGTAAGACTCCATGGTCAGAGTTTCCACGTTGCATCGAACAAAGGAACCCGGAGGTGGTGGGCTCTTTACCAGTCTTCGAACGAAGATGCCCCCGTTGACTGCAGGATCCCCAACACATGGGTATGGCGTACTGGGCGGCGTTGGGTACAAGGTGACATACTTCTTGGCGCTTGGCTTCAATTTAGTCAGTACATGTCTTGATGATACGACGTGGATAACTCCACTTACGACGTAGATGGGCTTGAAGATATCGTAGAGCAATGCGTTGTTGGCGAAGACGGTGAAAACGGCGAATGTTGTCTTGGCGGCAAGGTCGGGCATTTCCTGCGTGACATACGTGACAATGCGTCCCTTTCCTTCAAGATGAGGACAGATTGCCTCTCCGTTGGTAATCATGCTTGTGTGAGGACCGGCACTGAACACGAGCCTCTGAAGAGACTGGTTCTTGGCTGCCGCACGTGCAATCTTCTGGCCCTGGGCAAACTCCAGCTCCAGAGACTTCTCATCTCCCAATTCGAAGAACGTCTCGTAGTAGTCGGTGAATGCAAAAATTGCCGTGGCGCCTTGAAAAGCCTTCTCGAGACTTTCTTCGTCATTGAGATTTGCAGAAACGACTTCGACGCCTTTTGCGGAGAGTGCCTTTGCCTTTTCGCTGGAGGTGTTTCTTGTGGTACCTCTCACCTTCCACCCTACCTCGTTGAGAAAGGCGTTGACAACTCCTCCACCCTGACCACCGGTTGCCCCAATGACTACAATGAGATTAGACATGTTTGTAAATGTTAAGATGACACAAAAGAGGTATTAAATTTATTCATGAGTAGGCTGATGGGTTCTGTGAACCACGTATTATGTGGCATTGCGTCCTCTTTATATCTATGGGGAGCTGTAATGAAACTGGGGATTCCAAAGAGATTCGGCTCTACGGTTGGTACAAAAGACATCAATTAGAACACCAAACGGTGCGTGGAATCCGCCATTCGGCTAACTAAGATGATTCGTACTTCGGGAAAATACCACATCATTCATTGATTTGCCGCATGAGCCTTCTGAATACGCCGATATATAGACACAGCATGTGTAGCTTACTTGGTACCAGGAACTGACTATGAATCACGTATACTTCGACTGTACTTGGTAGACGTGACTTTCGGCAGAGGTGACGGTGGTTATCGGCACTCGGCAACCGTCACATAACCGAGACGAATTGGCAAGGGACAGGGTTTGCTGGACCAAAGTCTATCATTCGAACGCTGCCACCGACCATGGACTCATATCCACGTGCTGGCACCAACTCAGTCGATGCTGCAATGAACTATCGTCATATTCTAAGTCACTGAGGAAATTGTGAACGATGATTTCAACGAATGAAGCAATAAGCTGTCCACCTCCCACTGCCTCACGCGGCCTTCCTCTTCATTCCAAACGTTCATATACTCAGGCATGAATCTCATTGTTCATACTAGATTTGAAGTACCCTGAATGTTCAAAATACCTAAATATTATGGCAGTGCACCGTCACCTATATGCAGCTAGTCATGGTTTCAAAGACGTCGAAATCCATTTCCAGAATGTCCATCAACGAAAACCCGGAGTCTGACACTTGCTCAAAAGGCATGGAATCCAAGGCTCCTGCTGCCTGAACTGATGGCTGGTCCAATCGAATTTCCGCTAGACCTAAAGTATCCATAATCTCGCAAAAGCTATGCGGGAAAGGAAACAGCTCATCAATATGCCTGTTGACAGCCCTTGCTACCCACGGGGCGCATGACGCAGGGCCACCATTTTGGTGGTAATTGGCGGAAGGCTGTCTGCCCTCAGCATTCGGTTGAAGCCCCTGGATCCTTTTGAGCACTGATCTCGCCCCGCCATACTTGGCGGACATGAGGCGCAGAACGGAGCAAATGCTGTCGACGCCATTATTGCGAATGACCTCCTTCTGTGGCGACTTCGGGCGCTGGAAAATCAACACAATTGCAGCAACTAAAGCCAAGAAGCCATTGACACTGAGCAAATGGACGGCCTGCTCTCTGCAGTGAATCTCTTCGTACAGATGAGCAACGCAAGACGCTGCCACAATTGAGGCTGGGGACGTTCGCCACGGTGAATGGCGGTCTTTGCTGAGCATCTGAATAAGTATGATCGTCGTCAAATAGTGGATATGTAACTCCGAAGTGAAACGGTGGAATGGTCTTCGGGTTCCGTTTTGGTCGTGAAGCCGCAACTCTTCTGGCAGACCTCGATACCAATTACAAATGGACGCGATTATTCCTTCAACCTCATGCTCAGAGGGAACCCCCTTTTTGGTGTTCCATTCTGCAACACTGCGAGCGACATTCATCAGTCTCGTGAAATGAAGAGAAACCATGACAGATACCCTTTCAACGGCGAAGTCTGACGACGCAAGGGGCTGCACATCACAATCCTCCAGCTTCAGAGAACGCGGGCGACCCCAACAGGCAACCATAAGTGTTTCGGTATTCTGTGAGAGATCAGTAAAAAGTCTCAGTTAGATAAAAAAGAGTGCTTTGTTTGAACTTGGATTGTAGAAAGAAATGTTGAAGGTGGCATTGGCGTCTTCGTTCCAAAACAGGATAGGTGACATAAAACAGAGGCCAGACTCGTTAAGTAAGAGTAGAAGGGAAGGAGGCACGCACGTTCAAGTACCAGAAGATCCGCCGAAAACATCCGGCATTTTCGCTTTCTGCGTAACTTGACTGCGTATGCACGCCCATTTGTATCGCCAATCGCACTGCCATCCCCGTCCAGTGCCACGGCCCATGAAGCGTGACCCGATACGGAGAGGCTGGAGCCCAGCATGACAGAAGGCAGAACGTCTTCAGCAGGGCCATATTATCATCTTCGAAATCGATGTAAACTAGAGTTTGAATCTTTTCGTAAAGGGAGTAACTCAGTTGCAGGCTGCTGGGATCATGACGCATAAGGCTCCCGACGAGGCACACCGCTAACTGAAGCAGGGTCGACGAGTTCTCGCCCGTGAGGTCCTTCGAATCAATGACGGGACAGTAAGGAAGAACATTTTCAATGAAGCTATCCGTCAACGCTCTTCTCAGCCATGGAGCTGGGAGGATATTCGCCTGTCTCGCGCCCAAAATAATATTTCTAGCCTGGACAATTCGTGGCGGAAGGCCCTCGTGTATGGCCATTGACTGAGTGATGGAGTCGTATGACAGGACGGAGGTGTGGGAAATGAAACCTTCCGACTGGTAGGTCCGATTGCTGGAGTCGGAAGACGGCGTTGGGGTGATCATGTGCGTCCCATTCTCATTCTCTGTACTGACACTGCCGAGGCCAGAGGGAGCCAACGGCACAATCGGCACAGTGGGCGATGTCGGTAGTAGTGCCTGACCGTGCCGTGCGATGACCTTCCGTCTTTTTCTAACGCTATCGCGTCGACTGCAACAGCCACGCGGTCAGCATTTCTCCTTGGAGCAACTTTGGGAGAATGGGGCAATCTTGCATGCATTGGACACCAGAGCGGCGACAGTTTCGGCATTTATTATCTGGACTGCCTTGAAGATCGCATTTGACCTGGCCATACGGTGGTCAGGCACCGGCTCCTCGCTGTTGAAGTATACGTTGAGGACGACACACCTTTCTGGAATGACATTCAACGCACACCACGTTGGCACGCTCTCGCGCCGTTCTAGAATCCATGTTAGAGTTCGAACCAAAAATGATGAAATGTAGGGATGTCCAAGTGCCGAGTACGCAGGAATCAGACTGCTATTTCAATCGACCCCACCAATACTAGTGCGGGAGCCGGCGTGGGAGCCGAAGCTACAAAGGCGCCGCGTCTCCGTTCAGTCGATTTGCCCGACGGATTGACAGCAATCCCGCCTCCGTTTTTTAGTTTCCATGATTGAGACACATTCGTGGAGTCTATGATCTTACAAGTTTCTGTTGCGACCTTCCGGGCCTCGACCCGGATATATCTTCTACTCGGAAGAGGACATTACCTAAACATCTCTCCTAATAGGGTTCGCCTATTTACTGCTTTTTTAGAAAAGAGCCCCGCTTTTTCTCGGCTAGTTAAAAGCACATAAATTTAAGCACAGGCTGCAATAACGTGTTTTTCTAGGCTACTTTACTTAATTAAGAAGTTAGTAATTTTTAGCTTACTATTATCTTTTTAGAAGCTAATTTTTTAACTTATTAACTATATACTTCTAAATACCTCTACTACTAAATTACTACTTTTTGTTTATATTATTACTATTATATTATAATAGTATTATTAGTAGTACAATAGTTTATTAACTATATTAACTCCTATTGGCTATATATAAAACACCTAAAAGTATATCATAAATATTATAATTAGGTATTGATAGTAATTATAATATGTTTTAAAATGTATTTTAATATTTATAAGCTATGTAAAACTACTTAAGCTAGCTAGCTTCTCTAATTATTAATTAGTAGCTTTTATATAAAATAAGTATAATTACTACTACTAAAAAGCTTAAATACTGTTTTACTTTTACTATTTTTATTGAAACTAAGCTTTTTACTCTCTTCAAAAACCTTTATATAGCTAATTTATTTTACTACTTTTATTTCAAGTATAAACTTCTTACTACTAAGTACTTCTACTACTTTCTACTATATATATATACATGACTATATTAAGAGTAAAGTATATATATTATAGTCTTCCTACTAACTAGAGGCTATAGTAGGAGCAGCTAAAACTATATATAAATAAAGTAAATAATAATAATAGAAATATAAATATAAATAATATTTAGGTTTTAGATTCTACAGTTTAAAAAGATACTTTCTTATATTTGTAAAGTTTAGACTCTTATATCTAATATATTCAAAGTCTTTATAAGTATATAATTGTTTATATACTTAGTTAACTTAAGTAGAAAGGTTTATAATATATACTTCTCTTTTAGAAATAGTTATCCTAATTATTCTTTTAGACTATATACAGGTATATTCTCCTCTTTATTCTCTATTCTATCATTATTACGGTTTTTTATAATTATTTTATTATTCTTTTTGTTAACTTATTAATTAGTTAAATAGTTATAGATAAAATATAATTGTATTTAGTAAGAGGTATATTAATATCTATAGTAACTAAGTATTTTATTATAATCTTCTATATCTCTATTGTAGAGATATAATAAGTAATAATCTTAACATAAAAAGGAGTAACTTTAGTCTATTTAATCTTATTTATAGTAGTATATATCTTATTAGCTATAGCTTATTTAGTTGTAATATTAGTTTTAAACTTAATGATATAAAAAAAAGCTTATTAATAATAACTATATTAATATTTTTAGCTATAATAATAATTATCAGTAGTAGTAATAATATTATTTGTAATCTTTTTAATATCTATAAAATAGAATAGAATAGCTATTTTAAAGCTAGTTATAATAATATTGATATATTTATAAGTTTTTATAAAATCCTTATAAGTATAAATATTAGTAGTAATAATAATATTAATATAAACGTAGTAGGTAATAAATATAAAATTAAAATATTTAAACTTTATAAAATAACTAATAATAATATTATTAGTTTTATCATACTTTCTAAAAAAGTAAATAGCTAGGATATAAGTATAGCTAAAGAGATAATTATTTTATAGCTTCTTAAGATTAATAATAATATTTTTATCTTAATCGTTAATAGTAAAACTATTAATATTATTATATTCCTTAAAAATATACCTAAAGTAGTTCATCAGTTAGCAATAAATATCAGTTAGCGACGAACGTTTTCCTATCCACATAGTGGTATTTACTATTGCACAACCACAACACATTCAATTAACTATTCCTCATTACTACTCGAATCATTTGACAATTCCACATCCTTAGAACAGGTTCTCGCATTATGACCGGTCTCACCACACACACCACAGCATCTCCAAGCTAGCTGGGCTCTCTTTAATGGAACCCCCTCCTCATCCTCTCGAGGTGCTGGACGTTTCCCTTTTTGTTTCCCTTCAAGCAAAACCTGAGATTCCTCTATACTAAGTGCCCCTCCAAGCTGGACCTACGTTCTTTTAGCCCTCTAGCACTTAGTAAGTGCTATATTCATATCCTTAAAGGTATAAAGCTGATTAGTCAAAATAGTGATTAAGTGTGCTATTACTTATACACCTTTTAATAATTACTTAACTATAGTAATAATTAGTGTTAGTAAGCTTCTTTAATAAGTAGAGATATAACTTTTAATAAAGTTAGACTATAAGATAGTTTGTTATAGGTTAGAGGGTGTTTATAACTGCTAAGGTGGTAGTGTTAAAAGGTTAGCTATAGGAGGTGTAAGCGTTTATAAATATATATTAAGCTTTTTGATAATATGGTCTAGGTCCTATGGTGAATTTCCAGCGCCTTAGAAAGCAGACCTAATGTTTTCCTTATTAAAAACCTTATTATGGGCCTGTTAGAAGGTAATAAAGAACTCAGACTTAGTGATATAATTTATAGAGGCTCTGATAAATTAGTTAATTTTATCACTATATGCATGTTTTAAAGGTGAATAAAGGGTAATATCTAATAGCTACATTAGATATAATAAATATATAGGCATACTGATAGTTATAATATTATTCTGCTTATAGTAATTATTGAATTTGGCTGATAAATAGCTCTTATGGCTGTTGATAATAAGCATCTAGTAGGCGCCCTCTGTTTAGTTCTTAGTGTGTTTATTAAAGTGTTTAATCTAGTTAAAGCCTATCTGATTATCTATCTATCTATTAGCTATAGGTTTGATCACTTAGTTGCCTGGAAAACCTGATTCTGTGGTCTAATTAATAAGGTGATATACACCCTTAATAATTACAAACAGAGGGATATACCACCTGCCTAAATTAATATACTTTAATAACTATAGCCTATTCACAGTTGCTAGTCTGGACAAACTTTGCTTTGCTATATTAATCAGTATATATTACCACCATTAACATAATGATCATACCTATCACAAAGCTAGTTTTATTAAGATTATATAGGTCCCCCTCTTAGATGCTATACTTAGCTATCATATTGCATAATAGTGCAAACCACTTTAATATAACCTCAGGATCTTCTTAAAAAGCCCTTTAATAATTATATAGACGATTAAACTTGGTTTTTAGAGCAGGCTGTGAGTCCACAAACCGCCTAGCCTATTGCTTGCTAATAGGCTTGCTATTACGCGCTCTCAGCAGGAGATTAGCTATATCTTCCACACTACTAAGGCAGAAAGGAAATCCTCTAGAATCCTGTTTAATAACGTATTAGAGAAGTGGTTTCTCTTTAATCAGATTAAGTTTATATCGTTAAGGTTGAGCTTATTCGTATTGCAGTCAGTTGTTCATTCTATCAGCTAAGGTGCTCTTTAGGATACCATAGGTCTTTGCAGCATGCGAAATGCTTAAGTTATTACCTGCAGCGCGTGTCGATTGGATCGCTTTAATCGCAAGAATGACTTTATCTTCTTAGGTGTAGATTGGCATTATGGTTATTGAGATTTTATGCGTCAAAGGTTTAAGTGATTTGGACGTAAGAGTGTTTAGAAAAAAACGTCCAGCTGACTGGTCTGGCTGGCTGACTGATGAACCACGTTAAATATTTTACTAGATGTTTTTAGAACTTTATTCAAGTAGTTAATTTAATAATATTTTAAATAAGTTTTATATTTATAGCTATATTTATAAAACTTACAGAGGATTTAAACATAAATAATATTATATTTAAGGTTTTTATAATTGCTATTGAAACTACTAAGGATTATAATAATATTATTATCTTATAAAAAAGTTCTAAAAACCTGTTTATATTTATTCTTAAAAAATCTATTATAGCTTTAATTTTAGAATATATTCTTTTCAAACTTTCTATTAACATTTATATTTCTAGCTATTGTAATCAATAGGTTTATAATATAGCTATTATTATATAATTTATTTTATACTAAGATGAAAGCTTAATTAATATTTTAAATAATATAGAAAACTACTTAATGGCTTAATATAAGAAGTATTATTATAAAGATCTTATTTATAATAATATAGTTGATATTATTATTAATTGTTATTATTCAATTTATTCTTAAAGATCTCTAAAGTTATTAATTTAATATTATAATAAAAAGTAAAGTTAATATAAATAAACTTAATTAAGTTATT